CATTCTATTTTTTTTCCAAATTTCATATTTGAATTTTGTTCCATTTTGAAGTTAGTCATTTGTGAACTAAACGGTATGCTATTAGCACCACGTGTACAACAGGTTTGTTTGCCACACCATCCACATCTACTCCCAGTGGTGCAGGCTTTGGTGCTAATTTTGGAGGTAAATTATTATTCAAATAGTTTTATTGGCGTGTTAGTACTATTGTGTGACATACATGATGGTACAGATATAGATGAATATATTCAAAGCATTTTCCCGATTTGCCCATTTTTTTCAATTTGGAACAGAAGTGAACCTCCATGCACATTGGAACACTATTCTAAATTGTTGGCAAAAGGAAATTCAAACAAACAAACTAACAAAAAATAAAATAAGAAGTTCAAGTCACCAATATTTAGATGCATTGAAATTCATTGACACTTGAAAGTTTCCTGCAATTTGTGTCGACCAATACAGACAAATAAACACATAATGATCTATGGTTCTCCAATAAAACTTGAAATTCTGAATGATCTCAGAGTGCAAGTTTAACGCCTTATGAACTTCATCTTCAATTCATTGAGTTCAGCTAATATAATCAAACATACATCTATATCACAAGCTAGTTATACCACATGTAATCATTATACAGTCATGTGTGCACTTCTAAAAACATGCAAATTTGACAAGTCTAGTTTATTGACTAAGTTAGGGGTAATCTGAAGCCTTTTTGGTATTAAAGGCTAAAACATAGATGTCCAAAGGAATGTTTTGTCATTTGATTTCTATTTTGGTATGCAGGATTATTTGTTCGCAATTGCCAAATAAATGACGGTTAACGTACGGCATAGTTATGCAATGGAAGACTAGTAAAGAATATTTTCAATCGTTCACTTGTAACTTTTTGTGGCTACCCCAATTCATCTGTAATGGTTTGTTTTTGTCATTACATTCAGGTACAGCAGGAACTGGTGGTATATTTTGTCAGACGGCTGCCACAGCACCATTTGGACCAACTGGAACAACACCCACTGCTGGACGTTTTGTTGTTGGTGGGTTTGGTGTCAATGTTCCCACAGATACAACTATAAAATTCAATGTAAGTACACATGTCTGCGTTTATTTACTTATTAGTCCATGTTTGGATCATTCTGGAACCGTGTATGATATGTATGTATATATCGTGCGTTTATAATACAAACAGGGACTATATGACAACTACTTGTTTATTATGCATAAACTTATACAGTCATATTCTTATACTGTTTTGCATATTTCTTGACAGCCTCCTACAGGTACAGATATAATGCAGAAGAGGGGTGTTTCCTCCAATATCGGCACAAGACATCAATGTATCACAGCTATGAAAGAATATGAAAGTAAATGTTTGGAGGTGAGAAATACTAAGTCATACGAACAAATTCCAAACTGGATGTGCCAATGGTGCAGCGTAGATTTATGAAAGTTTAGTAATTCTTCACAAATGAAGCCAAATGCTCAACCAGGAGGAGACGTGTTGTTTATGGCACAACGTAGTTTAGAAATTCGACATTGTAGAATGTGATTGTCCAATATTTACTTTATTAGAAGGTTTTATTTCATACCTGATCATCATCATTATTATTATGCTACTTATAATGACCATAGACACACCTGTTCCATTTACATAAGCGATTACCATGCTAATAGAGTAAATATGGTATGTAGGTTTTAGTGACAGATACTCTGATTTCACTGCCAGTGGACTGTTCTTTTAAATATTAATGTATTTGTCTTGTCAGGAATTAAGACTTGAGGACTACGGAGCAAACCGTAAAGGTCCAGGTACTGGGGCTGGATTACTTGGAGCAGGTGGCTCCATAACACAGACAGATACAAGTAAAGGATTGTTTGGAGCTACCGCTACTGGCACTACTGGTGGCCTGTTCGGTCAAAATAAAACATTTCCTTTAGGTATGTCAGTTTATTCAAGTTTCACCAAAAGGAAACTAAAAAAATTACAGACTGTGTATTTTTTGATTACCCATAATACATTGCTAGTAACATACAAGACTGTTTAGCTTTACTTTT